TTTGGAAATGCGTGTTTAGACCGCGACATGAAGCTGTCACCCCGCAAGGAAAATTGTAGAGAGGGTGAATCAATCGTTTCGTTCATGATTCTCGCACGACGAACTCATCATTGTTTACCGTAGAAATCAAAAAGTCTTAGAATTAATTTATCCACTTCATATATCATATCTTGTATTTTAATATAATAATAGTTGTAAACACGCACAATCTCATAGAACTTTTTATTTTCCCGATATCATGCGTATTATATTTAACATACACTCTTCGTCGCCGAAAATTTGTAAAGATCTTTTACGGGCGCCAATTTTCAAATTCGAGAATAAACAATGTGTTTTAACTTCTTGCAGTCACCTTGAAAATACCGTGTATCTAGTTTACCAAATCTCTAGGAAAAATTCTCTCCACGAATTCTGAATAGCACGCGCGCGCAAGTGTGTACCAAGCAGAGTGTGCACTTTACTTTGGTCCAAAGTGATTGTAACACTTAATTTCGACAACCCTTGTCATTCCAACCAATTAAGAAGCAAAACTATTATTGTACGCATGCAAGGTTCGTTCGCACTTACTGTATCTAATGTTACGTCGGGATCGATCGGCTGATGCCGTCGTATGGACCTGACGCATCACGGAAACGAAAGCAACTGAAGCATAACATGCGAGCGGGATATGGAATCAAATCATTTCACCCCTAAACATGCCACCACCCAAATTGAATGCACGGAAATTTCCGGCGTAACTTGATTATACAGGTGGTGCTAGGTGGTACCGCGCAACGTTGATTTTAGAGTGTGCACTCTTACAGCTTATGCGCTGTTTAAAAATACAATAACATCCACAAATGGTTAATGCAACGTAGGCGATTTTAAATCGAACTTTTGCACCATTCTTTTCAGACTTGAGCGAAACCAATCGCCTCACACAAATACGCAGCTCAAAGAGTGATGTTTCCCAGGCTTGTGAATAGTTTCTAACCTGCAGAAGAATATGCACATATAATAATAATAATAATAATAATAACAATAATAATAATAGTAGTAGTAGTAATAATAGTAATATAATAATAGTAATAGTAATAATAATTATACCAATACAGAATTTACCCCAAGTTAAAAAAAGATTTGCACTTGGGAAGACATTTATAACGCTCAAGGTAGGTATTACTCGATACTATTTTCGCCGCAAACAACACAACGTCGCGATCACGTCATTTTTCTTTATTCTCGTATTTGACAAAGTATTTATTTGTGATCAGCATATAATGACTTTGAATGTATTTAATGAATATGTTAAAGTGTTGATATTTCCTTAAAACGTGAAAGAATTCTATCCTAATTGTAACGAGAGTGATACAAGCATCTACGAAGTAATTGTAGTTTGCACATCAAAAATAAAAATAATTATCACCATGAACCTTTTTTTAAATCACAAATTACAATCCCCCCATCACAATATTTTATTCCTCCGTTCTTGTGACCCCAAATGCATTGCTTTCCCAAGCTTTCCTATTTTCCAGTTTCTCACCGGTAGGTCGAGGCAGTTGAGTTTCCTTCGAGTGACAATACGTTTCGGTAGCCTTTATTTGAATATTATTGAGATTCTCTTGAACGTATTCGACCGACTTCCTCATGTAATCGGAGATGATGTTCTCGAGCTGTTTTTTCAATCGTTTTTCGACTAGAGGTGTGAGGAACACGTACAGGAAGCTTTTAAAGGAGAGAAAGGAGGTTAATTAAATGTACAGTAATTTGAATTCAAGACTCGAAAAAACAACTTACTCGTGTCGTGTGTCATGCAAACGAATCTTCAATTCTTTGATATTGGTCTCGGCTTCTAAGACGGTCAATCGAAGGGTGGTCTCCTTGTCGGTCGGCATGCTTAATAAGATATTGATGCAGATTCTGAGACCATCAGATGGAATCGCAAAATCGACTAATCCGACCTATGTTTATCGTTCGTTTGGTAGATTAATTAATGATGTGCAGTGTGAAGATCATCGAGTAAACACGTTTACTTACATCCTTCATGGTTATAAGGCCACCTTTCTTCTTGTAGAAGAATGCAATATTTCTTGCGTCAGCACGTAGTTTGGAGCTGGGCGTGCGTGATTGTTAAAAATAAATTGCATTATTAGGGATATCGATGATGAGGCAGCAATCGCGATAAATAAAATTTCTTCCTACATTTCGATCAGCGCGGTGTTCCTCACCACGTCTTCGCCTTCACGGTCCAAATTAATGTCGGAGGTCATGCTGATGTGCAAATGTTTTGGAATGATGTCGGACACGTGTAAAACGATGTTATCGAAGATGTACTCGTATTGATCATCGTAGCTATTGTTATTTTGGTTTTTGGTTCTTAGTATATATGCAAGTTGGTAATTTTGCGAGAATTAAAAAAAAAAAAAAAAAAAAAAAAACAACGACGACGAAACCCCCGATGTCTTAAAAACTTACTTTTCCATTCGTGGGAGTGGGAAGAATTTCAACTTCTCGGCGATGAGAGTGAGAATCTTTCCGCAATCTTTAATGAGCTCGAACTTCATAGTCGGTCGGCCCTTCTCATCCAAGAAAATATCTTGGACGAGATTCTCGAAATCGCGCTTCCATCGTAAGGTGGTCTTGTCCTCTTGGAGTGATTCATTGAACTTTCGGAACTCGTTTGTAATGTTCGTTATTGTGTCATAATAATTTTCCAGCAAGATATGACGACCCCTTTCAATCAATCGAGAACCATGCTCGTTGTAGTCTGTCTGTTGAATATATTCGTGAGATTGTAAGGATGAGAGAACAAAGTCTTGAAGTTCTCGAAGATAATCGCGAAGTTGTTCGTCACTTTGAACTTGGTCACTGAAATCACTTAATGAATTGATCAACAGGTCGAGAGAATAATTGTTGGAAAAGTTCTCCAATAACTCTTTTGCATTTTGTTGTGCAATTCTTAGTGCATCCGATTGACCTGTAGCTTCTGCCGTGGTACCTGAAACATGCGATGCAACTTCCCGGGTGTACTCGGAAATTCGACAAACGAAATCTATGATGTCGGAAAGAGCCTCTTGATATTCTGGACGTCGTTGTGCTTCCTTCATGACATTCTTAAATCTTGCGGTTATTCTCTCACGTTGCTCAGGGGAGAGATGATAAGAAGTGACCCTCTCCTTAACGTTTGTGGCCAGAGACTTTGCGCCTTCCGTGGCAGCATCATGGAAGGACTTCTTGCCTTCGCTAAACTCTCGGATGATCGGATCGACAGTACCGGCCGCTTTCTTTGCCAAAGGATAAGCGCTCTCGCGTGCTCGGGTCGATGTCTTTTGAGCCACCCCTTTCAAGGTTTCCTCGGCCTCGGGATCAGCTGTCTCTTGACCGGAATCAGTGGTGGCGATGGCCTCTTGTATGACTATGTTGATTTCATTGATCAGTTTACGAAATTCGGAGCTTGATATCATGAGTTGTGGAATCTAGATTTCAACGTGAAATAAAAGACATCAAAACAACGTCAGTGCGACCACAACATAAACGTAATTTCATTCAATTACCATCAAAGCTTTTTGCCATGCTTCCTTGGCCAACGATTGCACCTCGCCGGATTTATTTTCATATTTTTTTTTAAGATCTTCGGGAATACTGGAGGTTTGGTCTGAAAATGGACGGAGCAAGAAAACGAACGTGAATGATGTATTTTAATAAGATTTACGAGTATCCATGCATAAATTGTAAAAACTCACCACCAATATCTCGTGCAGCCCTGCTACCATAATAGATCACGTTCTGCAACTCGTCACCCGCATTCTTCTCGACCAAAAGATCCTTGGTGCTCTCCAAGAATTTTTCGGTGTCGGCGAATACCTTTTTACCCAATGGAGACATTCCACGGGCCGTGGCGTGGATGGCATCGGAATCTTGGAGTGATTCGATGCTGGTGACAATCTGTTCTGTGGTCGGTAGCTTTCCCTCACTAAAGTATTCAGGTTAAAAGAGAATGAATGGACGTGCGGAGGATATAAAAATACACACACATATATTATATCCATCTATCTACCCAAATGCTCCGGCAATTTTTGTAGCCTTCTCCGCAGTTTGTAATGCCTCCTGTTCGGCTTTCGTACGTTCAGGGTCGTGTTTAGGTGGAAGTTTGCCCGACATTTTTTTTTTTTTTATGATATTACAATGTTGATTGGTTTTTCTTTGAAACTTAAATTTTTGATTTTAATTGAGATGCCCAATCCTCTCGCCGCTCTATTTATACAAAAGCGAGAGTTTTTTTTTTATTGCTCGTCATAGTTCGATCACGCAGCACTATCGATCAAAAGGCATAGCGGCAAGTTGTTCATATTGTCGTCAGATCCCCAACTCATATTCTCACCGTACGATAAATTAAAATCTTTGATGATGATGCAACTATGACGCACTGAATTTTTTGGTCATATTTTTCTCGAAATTTTGTCATAATTATCGTGATTTGTCAAAAAAAAAAAAGCATCGATATCGATAATTAATTAAACACTTGCACAATATCTTATGTAAAGATACGTAATTCCTAAACGGGTGCAAAAAAACGCATTACGTCATGAAACCATTTTCCTTGCACAGACGAAAAAAAATGTTTAATCCGCTTAAAAATCACTATACGCATAATACGTCAGCTTTGCAAATTTTAAACCGTGCGTGCAATAGAGAGGTTTATTTTATTACCTAACCAAGGAATGCATTATAAGGAGGGAGAAAAATTTGGACTAAAACGTCATCAAATTAGCTAGATCAATATTTTGACCTAGACCCGTTGACGAGACACAAGGTAACTAACTGAATTTATCGGTGTCCAGTGTAAGATACCTTGATAAGACAAGTTCAACGAAGCTAAGAACACACTCACTATAGGGGATCACGGTTAATATCGTAAAACGCGAACATTCAATTATTATTGACAAGTAGGCGTCAAACCTCCCGTCATTTTATCCCAGTTATAAGTTCCAACGGTCAGTATCATTGCAATCTGTCCTATCCCTATGGAAGCTATGGCGTACACGTAAGCATGCCGTCTTTCCAGTGTTGATATCTCGGCCTACGAAGTTTGAAAGGAAGGAAAAAAAATCAGGTCCGGTGAATCAAAAGAATAAATCATGCAAAATGTTTGTATGCTCACGGTGAATGTCGAAACCGTGGTCAGACAACCTGCAAGAAAAAAAAAGGACGACGAAAGATTTCTTGTTAGACGATCCGTTTGACATGATCAGACCAATAACGACAATCGCGTTCGTTACCGCAGAAACCGTCCATCAAGCCCATTATTATTTCACATTTTACGCCAGCGTATATTATGCCATTGCCGAGTAAGAACAGCACGCCCAAAATAAGTGAACCCAAGGCGTTTGCGTAGAGCGTCCCGAATGGGAAATGCGATTTGTAACTGTTGAAACGCGACAACTGCCATCTGACAAATGTTCCTGCATTAACCAACGTATTGCGTTGGTGCGACATGTGTGACGAATTAAAAATAATAAATTATTAAATAAATAAATAAATCATTACCTAGCGGTGCAAACACGGCCGCGAAGAGAATTCTCCGATGCTCTTCGATCACATAAGCAAGTGTAAAAACCATGACCATTGATGCCAAGCCACTCATCACACACACCCAGTCCCGGAACGAGAGATTCCGAATTTTCAATGGTCTCACTTTAATGCGATATTTTAGTCCGTCAGGCTCCTTCCGGTTGGGCAGGATCAAGTCCGCCAAATGCTCCCCAAACTTCAATCCGACCAATGACATCCCTATCGTCACTCCAATGTCGGCCATACTTGCCATCACCTAAATTCAGTTAGGGGAGTCAGGAATCACCAGCATCCGCCGTCAAATAACCTAAACAAAACACACACAAGGTAGTTACGTTGTAGAAGCCACCTCTACGGTATGCGGTGTAGCCTACGAGATCCGTGAAGGTGGCGAGCATCCAAGAGGAGAATGTGGTTATGGAGCCGCAAAGTCCCGTCACCAGCCCTGTGTACAGTGGGAGGTAGCTGATTTTTCAGAACAAATGTAAATACGAAAGCGACGAAAAAACAAAAACCCGAAAAAACCTATCCTCGTTCACTTGCCTATCCATTATGAATCCTCTCCTTGCCAAACAAAAACCTACGATGACACATCCCACAAATTGCGGATATACCAAGTAAAATACTGGTGCTCCGGGATAGGTAAACAACATCTTTAACCCAATTCTAATCAACACACCGATTATCGAAAAGGGTATGATAACCGATACTATCGTCACGCGGTCTTCCATCAAGTCTATTACTTTGTGAGCATTTCTCTCTTCCAAGACATCGTCGTCGACCTCCACATCATTCGCTACCGTGGACTGTTTCGGCGCAGTAGCTTCCTCCATACCGGTCGGTATCGAAACCTTCGATTTTTCAGAAATAATTTCCATAATAGAATGAATACTTAAATTAAATCCGGTTTTTTTATAATAATATGCACGATCTGCATACGCACATGCATATGACGTAAGTGATTCACAGATTCACCTCGTCCAGAAATGAAAGAACGCGACACTAAAGAGCTATCAGCCAGGAATAGAAAAAAAGGTAGTTATTATTTTAATGAGAATCTAAAGTAATTGACTTCTCGTGGTCAAAACTAACTCTCATGACATCCCGTGTGTAAGTCAGAACAACTGAGACGGAAACACGCGGCGAGTCATCAGGCGGCGGTAATGGTGCATTCAATCTATCCAACGCTTTTTGTTGGCTGACTGGATCGGTTAAGGCTGATCGAGTAAAAATTGATTATATAAAATAGCCGTCGGTTATATTCCGAGAACGATTGACGTTGCGGATTTCGCCGAGGTAATTCTGATTCTTTTTGGATTCAACCTATGCGAATTTTTTTCACATCTTTACTACTTTTCATCACCACGAAAGGCACGATCTTTTGAAATCAATGCATTGAACGATGCTCTGGAACGAGCAAAGTAAATTTATGGAATTACTTGCTTGTTCTTTTGGTGTCACAAGTAAATTCCGATGATAATTAATCGAACTTTCTCACTCATTCATCAGTCAAGCAAAGAACTCCAGAGCTGCGCAATCTCTCCCTCGTCATCTTCGACGTCGTACGGCGAGCCATAATGTTAAACGGTTGCCGGTTAGATTAAGACAAAGAGCTGCCGAGGAGGTTGGTATTATAAAAAGTGCGTAATGGTGTTTCAACCTCTGATCTCCATGAATAAATATTTAGATGAAACATGACAACACCACGCTAAAAAAGCCGAGCAGGCGTAAAAAAAGGCGCCCCGGTTCACTGGCCGCCGAATATACAAGAAGACAATGTTTGATATTCTATAATCTGTGATCGTTTGCTTTCCGTACGGTGCCCTCGTGATTGATTGATCTTTTTCCAAAGTGACCAAGAGATGGCTTGAAACTCACATATGGCATGCCAAAAGGATGAAGATGATCGAATTGTGGGGTCATAAATTGGTATGTAGGTTGGACGTGTTGGGCGATATGACGCGAAAAAACTTTTCGCTATTTGAAAATATATATATTTCTAGGCAGAACATCCCAATGAGAAGAGTATCAGAGCTTCGCACAGAGCGAGCAAACATCTTTCTATCATTCATGATGCGTCATATTTCGGGTGGATTATGTTGTCAGGAGAAAAGGAAAAGTTAATCAAGTTGATGAACAGTGTAACCGATCCTACAATGCCTTCTGTAGGGAGTGAGAGGTATCGCTTTTATCTTTGGACTTGCCTTGTTCTGAAAAAAGAATCACTGCTCATGTCATACTTACAGTAATTATTTTTATTCGATTTATAGATATTTGTCTGGAAAAAGACAATGTTTCACTTACTTGTATGAACATCTGAGTTACCCAGCGCATCTGATATCTCCTGTGAACCTACTTTGGGAGTCCATCGCCAACGATCATGTAAGAATTACAGAGAAGGTTCTCATGTGGATCCATCCTAGTGCATTTTGCGAAGCTTTTGCTGCAATCGGTGAAGCCATTAAAAACATGGGTTTAGAAGACGGTATGCCAAATAAATCCTGGTTATGATGAGGTGTTTCGTTCAATAATACGCGTTGCATCCATTTTCCAGACGTCTTGATTGAAGATCTTAGAGACGAGTTTTTGATGTTTGAACTCACCGGTCCCAGATCGACCGCTTTATTACAAGCAGTGTTGGATGTTTCCGATGAATGCGAAAAAGTGTCGACAAGCAACGAACCAACCGGTGAAGTTATCGAAAAAGCACGCATCAACAATAAAGCACATGAGGTAGGGATCGAAAAAATTTTTTTCTTTTTTTTTCAATCAGTAAAAAACATACCATTGAAGGCTTAAATTTATTTGAGGTCTGGAAATCTTTGAAAGATTTGCGAAGTTCCACGTCTTTACCACCGGGAATCGTGTTAGGATTAACGGTGCTAGATCCACGTCTGCGGTTGGTGGTTTTCTGGAGCCATGATAAAATTCCGAAAAAAAAAAAAACTCGTTATATTGACTGCCGGGCGTATTGATTAGTTTTCCTAAAAAAGTTCCACCACGTACAAACGAAGTATCGGTGGTCTCTGAGAAGGCGTTGCGAGAAACATTGATACGGTGGCCGGAGGGTGTTGCGTCATCCGATTTGTGGGACAGCGACTTTAGGAAACTCCTACGTTCCAACAAGATATCGGACGGGGAATTAAATAAACGCCGAAGTAATGTGGGCATTCATTCATATCCCTTAACATTTTATTTTCTAATCAAGGAACACAAACTTTTTAAAACGTTTTTATTAATTGTATCTATCTCATAGTTGATTCTTCCTGGTCAAAAACTGACATTCACACCGAGAGACGCTCTTGTTCCCATATTATTGATCCAACGCGACGAATCAGATAATGTCGTGTCCGGTAGAACGAAATTTCACGCAGAATATAAGGGCGGATGGAATGTCATAATTCCTTCTGGTTGGGGAATGGATTTTTGGAAGAGTTTTGTATTCGCTGGTGCATGGACCGCTGGCAAGTATGATTTCGGACATACAATATTTAATATTACGCAATATTTCACATTCGTGTGTATTTTTTGATAAATTAAAGGTCTACGTGAACGGCACACGAACTATTTTGAATCAGGATTATCATGCTTTCCTCACGATTTTCCTAGCACAAAATCTTTTGCCGCACATTCCAAGTTGCGTAGGGAAGAGTTGGAGAAAGAATACAATAAGCGTCCGCCATCGAATCGGGTAAATTATAAAATTATGGGAATCGATTCGCCATTCGAGCCACCGTTTGATGTGTTGCTGGGATTGTCAACTCTGGAAGAGTGTGGAGACGATAAGTCACGAGAACAGATGGGATCGCAGAATGAAGGGAAACAGGATGATGGAAATGTTCGAAAGTTGGACAAAGATCGACAGTCTTGGTTACTCAGAGGCAACAAAAACATTAGATTGCTAGAAAACCATAGTTCAACGGAAGATGGCGCCATTGCAAATGCACAATACGAAGCCGAGTTAAATTCATCATTATTCGCTCAAATAATTATGTCCTTTAACAATCGCGGTATCACTTTAAATAACGAAGAAGTTGACAAATTAAGGTTAAGAATGGATTTGAGCGTCGCCCTTGTGAATGTTCGAGTTATTTTTTTAGCCAAAGGATCACCGGGATACAATTCCATCATTTATAAGATTTCAAGCAAGCGAGATTATGACACGTGGATAGGAGATTTGAGGGATAGGAAGAGGAGCGATGTTATAGATCCCGTGACCAGCGAAAACGAGATGAATTTTAGGAAAGATGAGGCGGTTTGCATTCCTTTTATGTATTTTTTTTTGTATTTTTTTTTCTATTTTAATTATTAACAGTTTTGTTATTAACGGACGTTAGAAAGAATCACCACCTCCCTCCGACATAATCGGGTATGTCACAACGGGGCAATTCTCATTTAGTCAAGGTCATGAACTCGGCATTGGAAGTTGTTCGTTAAAAGGAATTCTTGAAATGATCAAACTGGAGAAAAGGTTTTTTTTTTTTTTTTTATTATTATCGAGAAATTACTATTCTTCTTCTTTCGTCATAAAATTCAACTTTTTTTGTTTAATATTACAGTGAAAGGAGAAAAATGAAAAATTTGGTGCTTGTCAGAAAGATCACAAGTGCTGTGTGTCAACCTGCTACCCTGGATTTTATTTCTTGATTTTTTGACTTGAGGGCGCAATATAGTGATTCAAAGTTGTGATTGATTTATTAATCACACATACATCATTGATAATCACGCAAAAGCCACATCATGACATTTTTGGTTTTAAGATGCTTTGTGCGAAAGAATTTAATACTTGAATAAATACAAATTGTTTCGCTAAAAAAACAATAATCAAAGGTTAATTCTTTTTTTTTTTAAAAAAAATAAATGGTGAATAGTAGATTTATTAAGCACAAACCGATTGAATTTTACACTGATTGCGATATGTAATATAAACCACCCAAATGTTTGCTCAAAGACTTGGAAGAAAGAAAAAACACTACGGAAAGACTAAAAGATCTAAAGAATGATGATTGCATTATATTATATAAATAAATATCACGGATGAACCTTATTTTCTCCATATACACCTTCACTTAAATATAGGAATGCAAATGTTATAAAAAGCGCGGCTCCTATAATGGTAACTAAGAAGAAAATTTTAAATCGAATTAAACCACGAATTTAATATCAACGAAAAATCGACGCATAATAAATACGCGAGACACTTACTTTTCCTAACAGATATCTTGGATGCCAAGAATCTTCCTCCTATTACCGCAAGACCCGTGCAAAAACTATGTCCAACAATTGTACCTGCAATCACCCAGTAAACATCCTAAGCATTATCAAAATTGAATTAGTCTTTAACGGCTTGAATAAGGGTAGAACAAGGGAAAATTTAAATAGTCTTCTGGTACCTGAGAAGCAGCTAAAGCGATCGTCGCAATTTGTGATCGATCGCCCCACTCTGCAAAGAATGAGAGCACAAACGTCTGAACGAATACAGGTGAGAATATGAATTGGCACAGATTAATCAATCCCTCTTTAAAAGTCTCTTGAAGTGGCTCATTTGATGCACCGCCAGCTTCAGCTGCCTCTATTAGTCCAGCTTCTTCTTTTTCCTTTAACTCAGCAGAGACCTCTTCCAATTCTTGAGTTGCTTCTTCTTCTGTCATTTGCCACCCTTCAAATCCCATCTTTATGCCGAAAAATAGGAATAACAGGGCGGCAAGGTAATTTGTGTAGATTTTAGGGATTAAATTCGGTACTGCATAACCTAGAGCCGCCGAAAGTACTGACATGAGTATAAGAGCAGCAAAAGCGGCAGAAAAAACTAAAAAACGAGGATTTTTCATTGCCATTATTGCGGCAATGAAGAATGTCTTATCGCCTATTTCCGATACAACGATCATGAGTGCGGAAAAAAAGAAAGATTGTGACTCTTCTGTGCTGATAACTGGGAGCGCTGATTTCATCTTTCGGAATTTATTTGTTTCGCCTAAATCTATGTCAAGGACAGATCCCACAAGATCTGGGTCTTCAGCTTCCACTCTTACTAAGTTTTGCTGAAATAAAACGATATACTCTAAGCAATTAACCTGATTTAACACTTTACTTAGTAATAACTAACTCTTCACCTCGGCCTCGTCCAAATCGCCTCCTTCAACTCCTTTGTCTATCACCTCGCCTCCAGAGAGCGTACCCAGTATAACTATTAGAATGAAGCATAAAATGAAGGTGTGATTTCGGAGAAGTTTTTGTAGCATTTCTGCGGATATAACAAATGCCTCTATTTGATGTATTCGATTAAAAACGATGCGTTTTTACTTTATATATGTATTTATGCGGCGATCATGTGTTTTCGGTATGCCAAGATTTCAGCACGAAATGCACGTAAACACATTGCTATCTTCTATTATTAATTCGAGTTGAATCCTTCCAATCTTATTGGTATAGATATTTTAACCGAGTCACGATCTCGCGAAACACCTAATATTTGAAACTTACAGTAAATTTGGGGAGTTTTGAGAAATAAACGATAATTATTCGAGATCACCCTTAGCAATTTCTTTGCTTCGCAGCCTGAATTAAAAATTTAAATCATATTATTTCTTTAATAAAAAAACCGATCATTTGGTTACACAAAGATGTTCGCAAGAAGTTCTTTGCTAATGAAGTCTTAATTCACTTATTAAAACAACTTTAAAAATATTTCCAAGAATTTTTTTTGTTATAATAGAGGTTATGTACTCTGTAATGATTTCTTCTAACTGTTTTGACTTTTTTTAGAATTCTTATTTTTACAGTCCTTACAAATATAGTTGAAATACTGTATATTAGTTTTTTTTTTTTTTTTTTTTGGGGGTACCCGTCGCCGGGGTTGTTCGGCAGTTTCTTAATC